TTTAAATGAAATTCGATACATAATCACTTGGAATAAAAGCAAATGTAGCGCCATTTTCCAAATTTGGTTTTGTGTAGGATGTGCAGTGCCAACTTCCTTATTTATGGAAGCAATTAAATGAAATTTCATACATATACCTACATTTTAAATAAAAGCAAAACTAACATCAGGTTTAAAATTTGGTTTTGCGCATGCTATAGCCATACCCAGGAGCTCGTTTTCTATATTTGTTTAGTTTATTGTGCTTATAAATTCTGTACGCTGATATGCTTCTTATAAATCAAAGGTTGTGCATGCGCAGTGCTGCCTTACCCATGGACGAATTTTTCTGAAATTTTAAAAGAAGGAAGGGATTATTTAAATGCATATAAAAAAATAAATTCTACATACGCCGACTTAAAACACGTAGGGTATCCCAGAAAAATCGAAATTTGCCGATTTCGTTTTTATTTTTTCTTGATATTATTTGAGCAGTTACAGAAAAATAAAAAACACTTTCTCATTGCCACTTTTTGAGCTTTGCAAGGCACCGTTGAGAGATTTTTAATACAGCGTTTCGTGTCAAAAAATCATTATCATAATGACTGTCTTTATTAGGCATTTAAACCAAATAAATATCTACATAATATGTATGCTAAAAGCAACTGCCTAAGAGCGACTCAAGAATGGAAGCATACTTAACTGATCTTGCACTTAACCCGTTAACTTCATTTTTTTGTATGTCCCATAAGAAAAGTACACACTGTATTGGGTAGCCTTTTTGATTACGAATGCAACGGGCTTTAACTAATCCTATAGTTTTCAATAAACTTAGTTGGTTCTTTTTGAATTCGGTAGCTTATTATAGCTCTGGCAGCTGAGTCAAGAAAAAACATGATGATCAATGTGCGCATGTACAACTTTCTTATTTATTAATAATATAATATAATAATATATTTTTCATGTTTTGCACAGTAGCGCTTACATTCGTCAAGTTTTATCTAGTTAAATAACATACGTAATGTACTTATCTATTTACTTAATACAATAGTCAATTTAAATTTAAGATCACTCTGGTTCTCTAAAACCTTCACTTACAAATTCTTGTATGGAAAAATATGCTTTTAATGTTAGGTATCGTTTAAGGGTTACTTTTAGTTTTTTTATATCGTATGATTGGATACTCTTTGGTAGAAGGTTAAAGAATTTTTTAGCTTGGAACTGGTGATTACTTTGCGTCTTAGATAGTCGAACGTAAGCTGCCCTATTAACATATGTTGTTGAAATTTGAACCACAGATAGTTCTAGTAAAGGCAAACATATCGCATATAGTGAAAATCACTTATGAAGATCTCTTTTTAAAATGTTAACCATAGACGCTTCCACTAACAAACATATCGCATATTGCAATAATTAAATGTGCGCATGCGCGTTCTGCGCAACGTCAACTTTCTTATTTTTGGAGATAACTCTTTAAAATTTAAACAAAGATGCTTTCAGTACAAGCAAACCATAGATCAATGGTTTATGAAAGTTATGTCAGCTTTCATAAACCGTTGGTTATTAAGAATAACAAAAAAATAACTAAATGGATCTTTAAATAAATACGGTTTCGGTAATTCGGAGGGGGAATCACAATGACGTAGTTGGCGACGCACCCTCTCCAACCCCCTGCGCGCCAGCTACCCCAACATTTAAATCTTAAATAGTAACCGCCATGTGTGATAATGTCGTTGGAAAGCTCTGAAAAAATGCTTTCCAACCATACCAAATAGCATTACATTTAGGTTAGTAATTATCGTGCAAATCAAAAAATAAACTAACATAATACATTTTCTAAAGTTCGATTTTATTTCAATAAATGTTCAAAATGGTTTCCGTTATTGATAAGACCGTAGTATAATCTATTCTCAAACTCTTGTCGAACCTTTTCAAATGTTGGTTTTGCAATATTTCGACATTTCTTGAATTCTCTGCCTTAGTTCGTCTATGTTCGCCGGTTGCGTTTTAAATATGACAGATTTCAAACGTATCATATTAGTTAATTTTTTGATTTGCACCGGCAGCGGATTAGGAAGTGAACTGGTAGCGGCCGGATTTATTTATTTTGTCTTTGCTCGACTTAAAGATTGCAGTAGCTTCCGGCTAACATGGAACCCATCGCGTCCCCCCTGAGCTAGTGACAGGGGTGCACTGCTGAACACCTAGATATAGAGAGGCGCCATCGAAGGGAACTTAAGGTAGGGTGCTAGCGCCAGAGAATTTATTTGTGCGTTTTAATCTGCTTGGGCTATTAGCCAATTTGCTGTTGCAAATTCTCAAATTCGATCCATTTATTGAATAATTTGAAAAAATGAACCTTCTTTGATTAGCTCTTTTAAATATCGAGGTGTTATCAGTCTATCCCTAACCTAGTTCAACTATCATCCCTTCATGCTACAACATCTGTGGTTAAACAATGACAAATTCTACTCCTGATTTGAAACGTAATTTGCGAGATTATTAATTAGAATTCGTGAACCCAACTACAAGATAAACATTAACCTTCAAGGTAAAAAATAATTTTGTACCCTTTTCTAGGTGAGTTCGGTTTAAAATATTAACACAAGCAAGTGCTGCGCCATTAAAGCTTCCCTCAGTGGCCTGGTTATGGCGAAATTTATGAATACCGTCCGTCTCAATTTATTCGCAAAGGGAGTCAAATTTACATTGATGTGGTAATTCACAATTTTTTTCTCTGTACCCACTATTTTACTCAACGGAAATGTTCCTCATTGACTTTATTACAATTCATACTCGTATTGTCCTAATTGGCGTACACATCCGTATCTTCATTTAACTCGAAATATTCACTCCGCTATTATTTTGTGCTCGCTCGATTTAAATAAGTTTGCTGTTTTGGTCCACGTACCCGCGCCCTAACGTGTAACCTATTGTTACACACCGTAATCGATAACCTCTATCGACTTCATCCATACTTTTCCCATTTTTTACAACCACGCCTTTAAAGTGGAAGCTGATAGTTTCAGCGGCCATCGGTACTCGTTTAATCAATAAACTTCACCCAAAATGTACTGGGTTTATAACCACACATGACAACTTTTAGAAAAACACACACAATTACGAACAGCCCAAAGCTAAGATTAGACCCTAACTTTCACTGCCTAAATTAAATCTAGCTAACACAAATTTGATGTTCATCAAACGCCACAGACGAAAATATAGAAAAAAATTTCATTTGCTTTTTAAACACTTGTATGATTTTCACGGTACGCTGACTCTTCGACGATATCTTCTTAATTGTTGATTGCGATAATAATTTTCAGTGCTTCCAAGGCTCAACAATAAATTGAATTGTAAGAATTGAATGACGAAAAACTATATACCAGTATATAACTCAAACACTTTATTAACTTCTTAAACGACGGCGTATACTTCCAAAACTCAGTATTCAAACGTCAAATAAAGGTGATTTCAATTACTCCTAACCGGCAAAATGGAGAATGTCCATTCACCATACTTTAAAAGCACTTGTCTTATCACGTAAACAAAATATTATCGTCTTATCCGAATAGAGTAACATTTAAATAAATGCAATAATTGCGCATATTTAATAATGGCGCACATTGATTTAAGTATCTAATCCAAGAAGAACCATTGATCGGGATATTCATAAACACAAAAAATTATTCCAACTAAAATTCCCAGCAATATTTCTGATCTTTCCTATTTATTTTCCAATTTTATTTTGCCGCGCATTATTAAGTTTGCATCATAATACCCTAAATTTGTTACAGAGATGTCCATCAGATTCTCTTCGGTTTCGTTGAGATGTTAGGAAATGAGTAAATGATCTATGAAATCGCAAATTTTTCTAACTTGATGGTATCAGTAATCACAAACACTGGACCCCATCCCACTAACCCACTTTTTCGTACGCTCCATAACACCGAGAGGGTTTCGGTACATTTCATGTGCGCTATGTAATCAAATTATAATGACTAGTGCGGCTTTCAGCGAAGTCACTCGGAAACGTAAAACACTCCTTTCATTATACCCATCTGCAATAAGGGACGTAATGTCAACATATTCATCGGAATTCTAGAAAATAGCTATAGGTATATTCCAGGAGGTCTTTAATATTTTCATAATCCATTTGTTTTTGTGCAAGTAGGTCTATTATCTCATTTAATAATTCAACTAGATGGGAAGCTTTTCCAAGAATGAAAACACAAGCTGAAGGACTTTCCGTGTAATTGTCGTAACGTGCAACGCCATTAGTGTTCGATAATTTTAATTAAGCAGCAATTTTATTGGAATAGCGTTGTATAGCATTGTATAAATAATAGCAGACGCAGACTTACTGAAAACCAAAGGTTCAATTTATTTTCCACCGCCCACGTATCCAAGTACTCGATAATTGAAGTCTCGTACAACTGAATATTTTCATTTCTAGCGTATCACGTGGATAAGTGTTACACAAACTCCTATATAAACGGAAACTGTTCGATTGGCCCAAATGAAACGTTCTCAAAAGCGGGGTAGTTAATTATCGGCAAGCCAAGACAATTTCCGGCTACTTGAAAAAACAAAAGTTTATTACCGATCAATGAAGAGACGTGACGTTCAAGTAGATTTGGGGGGCGAAACTCAAAACCGATTAACCCCTTATTTCATTTTGGGGCTGCGAAAGTATACTGTTTCAAATTGTCCTCTGCCTATTGTGAAGGGTCTTCGAAAATTCTATTTCTCAGTGGAAATACGAGTACCTATAACAGTCGGCGAGGTCATTTTCCTAACGCTACTGTTTCAGATAACAATAGACCATTTCAGTTCCCCTTAGAATTTATTAATTCAAGTTGGTGGGTTTGTTAAAACATTACAAGACTGTAATAGAATGAGCGCAAAAGACATGTTATACTTGTTGTACCTCACTTCACTTCTGTAACAAATGAGATCTTTTGAGGACTGAGGCTTAACTGCAAACAATCGGATAAAATTTAAATTTGATTTATTTTCAGAACATTTAAAAAGAATGGCATGGATGACAATACTTGTGGCTACTATGGCTTTCAAATATGCTGCAATGATTGATGCTTCCATTCCAACTTTCGACTTCCATCCCCATCTACAAAGAAACACAATTGGAGGAAAAGAAAGCGAGGGTAAGCTTGCATTGATTTCGTTAATACTTAGGTTTTTGTTGAACTCTAACATGCAGTTCATTTTTCATCTTAATGTTGACATAATTTCATCTGTCACTATTGTACAGCGACATTTTTATATTACCTTACCTGCAGTATGGATTCATAATGTCCACGACAAAAAATAATTTTAACAAAAAAATCTGTCTTACGCCACTAGCAGTATTAAAATGACTTGAGATAATGAAAGGATGTCGCGAGCTAGTTCAGCAATTCATCTCCAACTCAGAATCTCTTTGAACTCGTATTTCTTTCCCAAATTAAAAGTAAAAACAATTGACTTGAAGTGTTTATTGCATTCGTGGCGTGAAGTAACACATAAGGGAACAAATACGTAATTGAGTGGAATAAATACTAACAAACTATACAATGAAAACTACTACTAACATAACCTTTGAAATTTATAACAGGTGACAAAGAAACCCACGCGTACATTCAATTACGAAATGGTAATTCCTAGTGAATGTCTGGATACAATCTTAAAATGTATTTTTAAATTTTTAATACCTTAATACCTCGGAGAAACGGAACGCCTTATAGACGTAGTGATCGGAATACGCAGCTTTCTGCTTCCTCCAAGTGCTATGTGTTATACTTGAACGTATCCGAAATCATTTTTCGAGTGGGATTCAATATGTGCAAAAACACATAACGGGCTAGTTACATTTACAAAGGATACAAATCCCTCTTGTAGAAGATAAATTTTATTTTCTACAGCACGGGTAAAAATTTTACTGTAACAATTCGTAAGACAATTTGTAGACATCTTTAGTAGTTTTAAAAATATAGCAGAAAAACGAAAATTTCTGATTTTAGTTTTTAATTTTTTTGTGGTAAAGTAATCGTACTAAACATTTCTAATTGACACTTTTTAATGGAGATTTCGAATATGGCATCCCATTTTTAATAACTTTTAAGATGACGGAGAAACACGTAGTAAAACTTTAGTTTTTCTTATTACGAGCCCACGTGTAGGTTCTGTGGCGAGGCAGATAAAACTACCGAGCATATGGTCTGTCACAGTGATACTTTGATCAGGGACAGACATCAACTCCTTGGAGACAGCTATCTGAAACCAGGGGAGGGTGAAGCAACTTAGGCTAAACAGAGTCCTATCCTTCATTGAGAGGAACGAACTCTGAACTCAGTTGCAAAAGATAGGGCGTAGGCACAATGGGCCTCTGGTGTACCTAAGTGCTGCTCGCTCGGGCCCCCCTGCGATAAAACTACTTTAATAAAGAACCCACCGTTTAACCTTTAGTGACATTTAGTTCTGGAAAGGACCCGTGGTTTGACCTTGATTTAGTTCAGATCTTACGTCTACGATTCACCTTTAGTGACCTTGGGACATGCACGAAGGGCAAACGAATCACTGATTGTAGTGACATTGATTGACCTTCAATGACCTTGAGACATGCACAGAGAGCAAATGAGTCACCGTTTATAGTTACATTGAATCGCCCTTCACTCGTTTAACTTTTAGTGACATTGCCCGGCGTTTGACCTTCGCTCACCTTGGAACATGCACAGAGGACAAATGAGTCATCCAAAAACGACCTTGAACTTAGCTCATGACCATAAAGGTAGGTCATAGTGAGCTCGTACCGGCCTTGCTTATCTACTATCATGTACTAAGGAGACATTCTATAATATAAACGTTCGCTGCAATTTTTCCAGAAATTCATTTTCATTGGTCTAATGGATACTTAGACCATAATTCAGTATATACTTTGAGAAAATTGACGGTACGAATATAAAACCTTGGTGAAAAGTTCTATGCGTAAAGACAAGCTGAAGTTTATTCCTATCGCTTCCAGTTGGATCGAAGGTAACCCTAAATTACGAAATTGAGTTGGCAGACCCGGTATATTTTTACATTTTTGGATTATACACCTAAAACTTGATTTGATGACCTTAGAGGTCTTCGATCCGGTACTGGAATCTTGAGCTACCCTAGACTTACAGTTGGGAATTCTGGGGAAGAATTACACGAAGAGCCATCAAAGTGACTTCCAATCCGAAATGTCGGGCGTTTCGCACCATCTGCAAATCTCGGTAACAGTCAGCTCAGATTGGGTGGTACGAATAGGGCTCCTACGTTGTGTTATACTAGGGCAGGGCAGGAAGGGAATTGAATGAAACGGAGAGATTTGTTAATCAAGAAAAAATGACCATCATTGAACAAAAAAAAACTAACATAACACACAAATACAAGAAATAATTCAACTACGATAACAAAATGCAAAAAATAAATACAACATCTCAAATAATACAATAAAAATCAGGTAATCGAGTCAAATACAGTTAAGCAAATTAATAAAAACGAAACGCAAAAGACATAAATACAAATGAAAAACATGATAAATCATTTAGAACAAAAACACATCAAACACAATCTGCGATCAATTTAGATAAATGGCATGGGTTTGCTCCGGTATCGGCTACCATTAATTTAATACGACAAGTACATGTGAAAATGTACGTTAAAGTCGATCATCTTACAAACAGCCTACAAACTAAACAGAAGTAGAGTTAGACCCCTATGTCTCGTATTGCTTATGCACCTTTTGATAGCGAGAACGAGAGAGAAAGCAACAGAGACAGCGAAGAATCGGAACTGTATGAGATACCTACTCCACGGCATAAATGGTTAATAACAGCAACGCCACACATAATATACTTCCACGTGAATACATAAAGGTATAAGCATCTCTACAATAACCAAAAAAAAAACATGATTAAGTTCACGGTACAAGACAAAAGCTTGGAGCACACCATTTTTCAATAAACCACAATTTGGAGGATGTAATCTGAAGACGATGTCAATTGCACAGTAACAAAATTAACTTGAGAATAGTCGGTTCTCATTTTCTCGTTTAAAAAAAGGAAGTGCTCTTATAACCTGAGGCATAGTTTACTGTAGAAAACCCATTAATATTCGCTTTGATAGTATACTCTCTCGACTTTGTCCAGTCCATCTAGTTTCCCATTTTTACCACCTTTGTCGATTCGTGGCTCACCATTGGGATCTCCATAACGGTGAGGGATACCATTTATTTATTTGCTTATTATCCCTCTCTTGTTCTGGGCCCTCAACAGACTTGCGCCCAATTGCAGAGTGACCCGCATAATGCTTTTTTACAAAACAATGTAAGGTAAATAGGGGCAAAGTTTCCCCTTTTTGTGACTAAAAAAAACGCATTTGAAATTTGTGAAAAATCTTTGAAAATAACTGAGATATCACCAAAGAATTGAAAATCTCAAATTTCGTTTTCATTTTCCCTAGCTTAAACGGTTGGAAATGTACGGTTCCTGTTAGCACCTTCTATGGGTACTTTTTTGGAGAATTTCGGAGAATTTGAATCTGTTGAATCAGCATTTCTATAACAGGCCAGATTATTCCTTATAGGAGCCATATTGTATTTTTACTGTTAGAGAGGCATTATAAACTGCCCTTATTTTTAATTCGTTCAGGAAGAGAAAAGAGAGAGTTTCCCTTCAAAAAATTAAAGTCTGAAAACCGCGACATAACTTTCTGAGCACCCTGTTTGTTATGTACAGAGTAAAGGAATACGTTTTGTTTACGCAAATCGTATAAATCATGGGAATACCCTTACACAACGCAAAAGGTGGACTGATAATATCCTATAAAGGGCAAATGCTACGAGTTGAAGCAAATTGTCGTGTGGCGGCCATATTCTTGGTGGGCAAAAAAATTGGTTTACATCTTGTTTACTCCGCCAACTGTTTGCGTACTTATTGTATAATATTATAGTGAACAAAAAATTTATGCATAAATCTATAATGTATCCATTCATTTGTTGTGTCGTGCACAATTTTTACTTGTTTGTATGTGGGCAAACAAATAAAAACTTGCTTCACTTTGCTATCATCGTTTATCTCTCCTCTCTCTTTATTCCTGCCCTAAGGGAGTGCCTTACTTGTATATTGTTTACCAATGACGAGAAGTTAGTTTTTATTTTAAGTTCGAGGCGCCTTTAGGCGCCGAGTTCGTGATGAACACTAACTTTTTTATATTCGTTTGTGGTTGTATATAAACGGACTAGTCATCGCAGATATAGAAATCAAAAGAAGCAGAGAAGCAGAAAAGAGGCAGTAAAGTGATCTTTTGTTTACTTCTCTGCTCCTAGCAACGAAACAAAACTTCGCTGTTTGAATATGATCAGCGAAATGGAACATTTGATGTATCTACATACAAAAAAAAGCAATTTATTTTGTGAAGAAATACACTTTCAAAAGACTAAAAAACATTCCCATTTAGGCGTATATGGTGGCAAATCAAATTTACTCCAAATTGAACTAGGAAAATAAATATGATACTCGTATGTCTGCATTAGTTTCGGATATAGGTTATAAAAATAAAATTATAATGAAAGTATTAAATAAATCCATTTTCACATATGACGTAAAGAGTAATTCTATTCATAAGTTATTACCGTGAGGGTAGGGTTTCATAATTCCGTGTTTAGATACGCGTACATTACAATTCAATAATTACAATTTTATAGGGACAAGACTAACGGCCCTAATGTAATATTCATTAATAAATAATACATTTCTATTGAGAAAACATCGACTTTTCATTTAGGTAGAACTCTGCATTCACTAACTATTGCATAATTTGCTGATTTTATGTAATAAATTAGTGATGTTATTTCGACTTTATCAGTAACGAAATTAAGTAAACTAAAAATAATCTTTATTTTATAGCAGATGTTAAAGTGATATTTTAATAGGTTGCAATGAGTAGACCAACTCGCTCTTTAACCGCAAGGGTAGATTAAGTAAAACAGATGACTGTCCATTCTAATGACATATGTCATTCTTATTACAAATGGGGGGCGGAGCACGAACATATGACAATGCTGTTTCTAAGGAAACGACCGCGACGCCAGAATTTAAGCTTGCTATTTTTGACGTCTAAATTAAATTCAGAATTG